TACTTTCTATGCCAATATCTAAGTCGTTGATGAAGATATTGAACAGCGCCGGTCCCAAAACAGACCCCTGCGATACCCTACTCGTTATGGATTTCCAGCAGGATTGGGAACCATTAATAACAACTCTATGAGTACGGTTATCCAGCCAGTTATGCACCCACCTTATAGTAGCCCCATCTAAATTGTATTTGCCTAGTTTATCAATAAGAATATCATGCGAGACCGTATCAAATGCCTTACTAAAGTCTAGGTATACCACATCCATAGCTTCTCCCTTATCCACAAGACTCGTTATCCTATCAAAGAAAGCTATCAGATTGGTTTGACACGATTTGTTCTTTACAAATCCATGCTGGCTGTTCCCTATCACCTTACCACCTTTCAAGTGTTTGCAGATGATTTCCTTAATTACTTGCTCCATTATCTTCCCTGGCTCAGAAGTTAAACTAACTGGTCTGTAGTTTCCTGGGTTGTTTTTATTTCCCTTTTTATAGATGGGCACTATATTTGCCCTTTTCCAGTCTTCTGGAATCTCTCCCGTCTCCCATGATTTTCCAAAGATAATAGCTAGAGGCTCAGATACCTCCTCTATTAGCTCCTTGGCTATTCTAGGATGCATTTCATCAGGCCCTGGTGACTTGCAGGCATCTAACTTTTCTAAGTGATTTTTAACTTGTTCTTTTTTATTTTATCTGCTAAACATACCCCCTTCCCATTAGCATTCACTATGTTAGGCATTCCTTCAGACTTCTCGGTGAAGACCGAAACAAAGAAGTCATTAAGCATCTCTGCCATTTCCAAGTTTCCTGTTACTGTTTCTCCCTCTTCACTAAGCAGTGGGCCTACCCACTTGTGTGGGTGCCTCTCAAGAGCCCCCTTTCCTTGGAGGCCTGGAGATCTGGGACCCACGGCTCTTCCCCTCCTTCCAGCCAGGCGATCAGGTCAGGTTTGGGAATGGGAAGTCCTGCGCAGGGGGTGAAATCAGGCACAGTCAAGTTGCATGAAGTCTTGGTAGAGTATTTGTCACAAGGGACATTTCCTGAGTTTAGCCTGACCTTACATGGGATTGTAATAACTCAGACCCCTTGGGGTCTGTGGGGGTACTGTCATGACCTCACTAGGAGTTCTCAAGGTCTTTGTGTTCTGGGGGACTTACGGACACACACACGGCTTGGGTGTTAAATTCCTGCCTATTTCCTACCCTGTAGAACCTGGAGCCCTCGCCATGGATGAAGCTAGTCCCAAGAAGGAAGGTGAAGGAGAAATTACATAGGCAGGACAATACCCTGCTTCTGGACCCTTGAAAGCTGGAGAGATGGGGATAAATTAGCATGTCCATTAGATTTCTGACTCCCCTGTTCTCTTGGAGGGAGTATGGAGATGAAAGTGTCATGCGCACCTGAGCTGTGGACAATGCGACCCTCCCCCTACAATCTAACCGAGCAGGGAAGAAGCTGACCAGATTCAGAAATGCAGACCCAACGGCGTTTAATAACCGAGGGGACGGGAACCCTTATCCCGCGAGGTCACATTCTCATCATTCTCCTGCATGACGTCCCTGTAGAGGGCTCTCGGAGCGGGGTCCAGCAGAGCCCCCTGCCCTGTGGTGAAATACAACAGCCACCTCCTCGAAGGTCACCGGTATCTGAAACAACATCAGTTCCTCCACTCAGAGCCTGCTGCCCCGGCCACAATCCCACTAGTCACGAAGGAGGAGGGATGGAGAATCAGAATCCAATCCCCACCCTGCTCAGAGGGGCCAGCAGGTGAGAGCCCCTGCTTCCTCCCAGCAGACGGAGAAGAGCGGGGTCTTCTCATTTACCACACACCTGCTAGCTACAGGCTCCAAGCAGGGGACCGGGACAGAAATCCCACCACCTTCATATTCCACGGTAGCCTCTGGCTAGTGCAGGGGTAGGCAACCTATGGCACACGGGCCAAACGCCACACGCGAGCTGCTTTTCAGTGGCACTCACACTGCCCGGGTCCTGGCCACCGGTCCAGGGGGCTCTGCATTTTACTTTAATTTTAAATGAAGCTTCTTAAACATTTTAAAAACCTTATTTACTTTACATACAACAATAGTTTAGTTCTATATTATAGACTTACAGAAAGAGACCTTCTGAAAACATTAAAATGTATGACTGGCACGTGAAACCTTCAATTAGAGTGAATCAATGAAGACTCGGCACATCACTTCTGAAAGGTTGCCAATCCCTGGGCTAGTGGGTCCAGGCTCCAGCACCGGGAACTTGGTCAGTTTTCCCAGCCCTGTCTATGGGGCGTTTCCGCTTTCAGAAATGGGGGGACGGTCACCCCCTCCCAATGGGCCTGTTCAGAAAACGAGGTCCAAGGTGAACATGTCCCAGCCGATTTATTACATCCTGTCCCCTCCCTGCCTCACCCTGTGTATTTCCTGCCCCTCCCCGCTACAAACCAAACACACACACACAGCTCCCTGAAAATCTCCTACCTGAGCTACACCACAGCCATTTCTCTTCCCCGTCTCCTGGAAGATGGGACGATCTGGAGCGAAATGTGGACGTGATTCTTCAGCCTGTCAGGGTGAGAGGGACAAGTGGGGAGCTTTCAGAAGGGGCGTTGGTCCATGTCACACCCCGATTCCCCCCCAGGGTCTTTCCCTGCAGAAAGACGCTCTAGACTCTGCCACCCTGGGAAAACCCTCCGTCGTTTTGGCTTGGCCTACGCTCAGGCTTCCTTGGGTATAATTGACGTCACTCGGGAGAGCTTCTCCCACCCACACAGCTACTGTCTCTTGCAGGGGTGGAGATTTTATGCCGACAGCAGCCACCGAAACGCTTCTCCTGTAGCCTTTGGCCCTTCATTACAACAATGACCCGGCCCCTCCCACCAGGGCTGGACCCCCCGAGGCAATTTTAAACCCTCCCAGGGACAGAGGCTCTGAGACAAATGCTAGAAAAAAAGCAGAATCAAAGGAGCCACTTGCGTGGATTCCCCCTGACATTGTTCCCCGGAAGTGTTATTTACTCCTTCTCATAACACAAGAACTAGGGGTCACCCAATGAAATGAATAGGCAGCAGGTTTAAAACAAACACAAGGAAATATTTCTTCACACAACGCACATTCAACCTCTGGAACTCCTTGCCAGGGGATGTTGTGAAGGCCAAGACTATAACAGGGTTCAAAGAAGAACTAGATGAATTCATGGTGGACAGGTCCGTCAAGGGCTACTAGCCAAGCTGCTCAGGGATGCAACCCCGTGATCTGGGTGTCCCTAGCCTCTGACTGCTAGAAGCGAAGAGAGAATGACAAGATCATGTGATCATTGCTTGCTCTGTTCGTTCCCTCTGGGGCACCTGGCACTGGCCGCTGTCGGAAGATGGGATACTGGGCTAGACAGACCCATGGCCGTTTTTCTGTTTAAGGTCCCCCAGACAGCACATCCGCCCAGCAGGGCCATGACCTGACAGGGGCAGGAACTGGCCTTTCCTCTCTCTGCTCCTCACCTTGTTCCCAGGACACTCAATCTGCCCCGGTGACGCAGTGACTGGATTTGGGCAGGTTTGGGAGCTGGGAACCTCTCTCTCCTGCTGCCCGTTTCGCTGTCGCCCTTCCCCTTCCCGCCTCCTTCTCTCTCCGCTCCGCCTGGGAGAACTGGTGACTGTCCCGTTCCCGGGGTGTTTGATCTCCAGGGAGAGCCTGGCTGTGTCCCTCTGGGACCCGCAGACACACGGGGAGCCCCTTCCCCTCTGGTACAAACTCACCCGCTGGTCCCTGAAAAGTCACTTTCCTGCCCGTCCCCAGCACTTTCCCGCAGTTCTCTCCGCATCGCCTGGAGGCTCCGGCTCAGGGCTGGTGCGGGCAGAGCCCGGGGCTAGTTCCAGCCACGGAGGGAAAGTCCCCACCTGGGCTGGGCACAGAGGGGGCATTAATGAAGGGCTCCCCCCGGCACAGACCCGGCTGGGGGAGCAGCAGCTGCTCAGTCTGGGCTCCCAGATCACGACGTCAGAGGCAGCAGCGTCTGACCCAGAAAAAACAACTAACTCTAGGGGCAGAGAGAAACAGTTTCGCTTGAAACTTTATGGTAACTGGTGACCAGTTTTCCCCCCAGGGTCAGTTCAGAAGCCGCAGATTTCATTGCCCGGACTCACACCAGAACCAGTTTGAACTGGTCTTTTTAACTGAGTTGGAGCCAGACTTGATCCATAATTTTTCTCTTACTCAGCAACCCTGAATCTGAACTGAACTGGGGGGGAAAACTGGTCACCAGTTACCATAAAGTTTCAAGCGACAAAGAGTCTTGTGGCAACCTTATAGACTAACTTAGTCTATAGACACAGAAGTTAGTCTATAAGGTGCCACCAGCCTCTCTGTCCTTTTCACAGATCCAGACTAACACGGCTACCCCTCTGATACATAAAGTTTCAGCCGGTTTTAAGCTCAGTATCTGATCAAATAAAATGAACCCTTCTCTGCTCTTTCCTTCATGATCAATAAGACCCAGGCAGGCGATTGCTCCGGCAGGGCCTGCCCCAGCAGGAGGAGAAGAGGAGACAGCCCCTAGGAGCAGAGAGGAAGGTAGGAGGGAAGAAGTGGGGGGCTCCCGGTCCCAGAAGTAACGCTAACTCTTCAATCCCAAGGAAAAAGGTACTGGTTCCCCAACTTTTCTCCCCCTTAGACGGGCCTCCCACCACCCAGCCCCAGCCCCTGGGGCAGCTCCTCCTTCCAAATGCCCCACTGGACACAGGCCCCAAATTCAGTTCCCCACTGAAGGAAGCCGCTCCTACCCGCCCCCCGGCACTGCCTGGTATCTGAACCATTTTGGGGTGTCTTGAACCAGAACCAAACCAACCCCCAATTCCACTCCTTGCTGGCCAGGGCTGGCAGTGACTCTGGAGTGACACCGAATCCTGCACAGAAATCAGACCAGCACCCAGTCAGGCCGGTCAGCCCAGGAGTCAGAGCCCCAAATAACGAAATTGTCTGGAAACAAAATATTAAATCGAGAGCCGAGTGTGGGAGGAGAGGCGGAGGGTGGATAGTTGCTGGGTAAATTTGCAGCCCTGCAGGGAAATCCCCTCCATCCCCCCCCGCCCCACTTGCAAGGCTTATGTTACCATTTTGGGGGTAGGGAGGAATCTCCGATGGCTGCTTGGGGGGCAGCGCCTCCAGCCCACCCCCCTCCCAGTCCATGGGGTGAGGGAGCTGCTCTCGTATCTCTCACAACCCCTTCCCCTTATCCCCCCCCTCCGTCTCCCCTTTTCCCCAGCCAGCGTCCCCTTGTTCTCCCATTGTCCCTCCAGCCTCCCCCTCACAGCCCCCCTCACATTTTCCCCCGATCCCAGCCTGCCGTCACAGCCTCCCCCATCCCAGCCCCCCCATATTTCCCCCATCCCAGCCTCCCCCCACATCTCCCCTTATTCCAGCCTCCCCTCCCCCATCACCTCTTCCCCTCACAACCCCCCCATCTCCCCCTGTCCCCCCACACTGGGGCTGGCGGCCGCCCCGCTGGCCACAAGTCTGGGATTTGCAGCCCGGGGGGGGTGGGGGCGGGTCTCTCTCACCTTCCCTCCCAGCGCTGCCCCCCAGGAGCTGGGGGCTCTGTCCCGTCTGCAGCCCGGGCTCCGGGACCCGGAGTCACTGCGGAGCGAATGCGAATCACTTCCTGCCGCCGGGGCGATGACCCCAGCCCGCTGCTGGGTCCTAGCGATCTCCCCGGCCCGGCTTGTGCAGGGCTGGCGGCAGAGTCTGTCCGACACCCGCTCCTGGGCTGGGAACAGGAGACTCCAGATTCCCCCCAAAACTCCGTGTCCCACATCTGGCGGGTTGGACGGACTCGCTTCTCCGTTCCCGGAAAGTCTCTGAGCAGCTCCCACCTTTCTGCTGCTGCGAGTCCCTTGTTCTCCCGCCCTGGTCAGCCGCTTTACATCCAGTTCTGATCCTTTTTCAAAGTGTTATTGTTATTTCTCCGATTCCTCTCAGCACCTCATCCTTTACCCGTGTCAACGCTGTGCAGAGGAAAAGTGCAATTCACTTTGTGTTTTCATAGCAAACACTTCCTGAAAACAGACATAAGTCATGAGTTGCCAGGCTCTTTAGCAACGACCTCTGTGTTTCTAGTACAGCACTTCCCTGTGGGTTTTTTTTTTTTACTGTGACTTTTCATTTGGAATTTTTAATTCTAAATTTTCTTCTTATTTTTATGGCACAAGTTGAGTCTGTTGGATCATGTGACTTCCAATCAGACAGTTTGTTAGGGGGCTTTCCCTCCACCCTCCCACTTCCCTGGTTCTTGTCAGGCAGACAGGAAGCAGCAAAAGACCAGAAGTCCGAAGCGCAGATAACGCAATGTTTATTGGGGTTAGTTTCCAAACAAGCATATTCCAAAGCGCTTCACACCAGTCGGGTTTATCTCTATATGTGATAGAGTCTGTTCCCCAGTGTTCCCTGCGCAGCTCTGACTCCACAAAGCATTTTCCCCACGTCCCCCTTCCTGGCTCCGACGCCGCAGAGCGTTTTCCCTGCGTCCCCCTTCCCGGCTCCGATGCCGCAGAGCGTTTTCCCCGCATCCCCCTTCCCGACTCCGACGCTGCAGAGCGTTTTCCCTGCGTCCCCCTTCCCGGCTCCGACGCCGCAGAGCATTTTTCCTGGGTCCCCCTTCCCGGCTCCGATGCCGCAGAGCGTTTTCCCCGCATCCCCCTTCCCGGCTCCGACACCCCAGAGCATTTTCCCCACGTCCCCCTTCCTGGCTCCGATGCCGCAGAGCGTTTTCCCCGCGTCCCCCTTCGCGCCCCCGTCCCG